TTTGGTTTTTTTTTTTTTTTTTTTTTAATTTTTTTTTTGTTTTTTTTTTTTTTTTTTTTTTTTTCTTTTACGAAGGAGAAGCCTATTTTAATCAGGCTTTATTTCCAAGGGCTCCCATCACCTGTGAATATTTCACCACCACCTGGTTTGGTACCATACTTTTCACTGAGGTGCTTTTTTTATACTGAACTTCCTTAAAGTACAGTGCCTTCTTGGGTAGTGAGTGTATGTTGGAGAGAGCCGAGCTCACGTGACACAGTTTACACCAGCCTAACCATTTACAAAGTTGAGCCCCTGCCAGGTTTCTTTCTCTTGAAACCTACAGTGCACAACGCTTGCGACTTGACAGGTAGATGACCTTGTTTCCATTGACTAGAGAGAGAAGTGTTGTTACAGTGGCTTCCACCTGATATCTGATATAATTGTTCGAAACAACCATTGTTAGGACTATTTCTACAGCCTTTATTAGAACTCCTGAAATCCCAAGCAGATGCCAGTGCCCCATAGGACAGCTGGGCATTATCTTGTGAATGTCAGCAGCTTGGCCTGGGCCGTAGCCTCTCCTACAAACACAGACTGCAGCGCTGGACTTCACCAGTATTATTCTTTCTCTTGCCAGTGAAACCTCACTCCTAGTCTATGCATCGGTCTCTCAGGACCCAGAGCTACATGAGTCCCTAAGACATGTACATGTTTGAGGAAGCCTTGCCAAATTCTGCTTGGCTGTGAAGATCTTAATCCTTTTTTTTTTTTGTAAACTGCATGTAGCATGGACCTTTTTCCAACTAAATCGGCAGAAACAAAACAGACCTTGCTATAAATGACATTCATTACTCAAAGGCACTTGGTTGTATTACTTGTGTTGCATCACGTACTAGAACTACTTCTGAAAACGAATTTAAAAGGTATTTTAAAAAACAAAGGAATGATGCAGCTGTGCCATAGGAGCATTGGGGATAATTCATCAGAGAAGCAGTTCTAATGGGACACTAAGTGAATGTTAGACTCCTTAGACTCCTCTTTTTACTTCTTGGTTGTTTAACATCATCCAGTGACAGTATTGCTCTCCATCACTGAGTAATATGGAGCAGAGGTTCTTGTCTATGCCTCATCAGTCCCTTAACGTGTGCTGTTGTTATTTATTGGTGTAAAATGGGTTGTTACCGTACAAGTAGGTAGCTAATTTCAGCGCGTTGCTGAAGTCGTTCTCAGTAGAGAAGCTGCTCAGCAGTCACGACCACGTGCCCGGGGGCAGCCTCAGCTCGGGTGGACACGGGCGGTCGTGGTGCAGCGTGGACCGGCTGGCCAGGGGAGCAGCTCCCAGCCCGCACGGCTCCGTGCCCACGGCGCCTCTCCAGCCACACGCTGCACAGAGACAGGGGTGAACGCTGAGATGCTGGGCAACAAACGAGGGCAGCTTCTGCTGGCATTAAAAGGGATGGTTTTATTCTAGCCTCTTCTGGCATTCACCTGCTCCTGCAAGCCACATCCACTGCATTCTAGTTCAAAAATGGGCAATTGACTTTTCTTTTAAATATTTAATTTTAAAATCCGAAAGTCATGGTCTAGAGCCATTTCTGCCAACTGCCTGCACAAAGCAAGATTTCAACAAAATTAGCAGCGTGAAGCGGTGTCTGAGGACAAAGAATCACAGCCAGCTCATCCTGGTCCATTCTTGTGTTTTTTCTCCTCGTTTCTCCCTGTGCACACAAACGTACCGTCTGAAGGACGTGCACGTGGCTCATACCCCCGGGCCCTGCACAGCGCCAGGGCAGCCCAGGCTCTCCTTCCAGTGTTCCTCCTGAGCACCCTGCTGGAGCACGTGCCTCGGAGACCAGCCACCACCTCAGCTGTGCCTTGGTGGCTTCTGTGGTTGTAAGGGTGGGGGGAGCTACGAAGAATAGGAGTAGACTTATAAATCAGCTAAACATTCATTATTAAATATATTTAATTCTAGCTTTTCTTAGGTGGGTAGCAAGCCAGTGTCCACACCACCACTGCCAACAAATCCTGACACTTGAGCATTTGATTAGTCAGAATATGGTCAGTTCGTCCAAAAGGGACAGAGGGCACATACTGCTTTGGCTTAGAAGTAAACCGTGACCAACCTTCATTTACGTTACTAGCTGACTTCTGCTGTGATCTACAGAACGCTTAAAAAAAATTAATAGCGTGTGGGTTTTTTCTTAAGTACAGAAGTATTTTCAGTGGCATGTTTTGCTTTTGTTTGCATTTGTAACCAAGAAGAACCAGCTTTCCTGCTTGTTGCTGGTATGCTATCAACTTGCTCTGCAACAACATAATCAACTAACTTGCAAGAATGTCCATGTTCATCACATAGCACAGATAGAAGACAGGCTGGGAAGAAGTAAAGAAAAACAATACCAGAATTTTTTTTCTCAGGGTTCTGTTTTTCTAGCAAGTGATAAGATGGTATATATTGCAGATTTTTTTTTTTTTTCTGCATGAGGTTTTTCAGGTGTAGGGTGCACTCATTAAAATCGACAGCTGTTTAAAGTTGTTCCTGAAGTTCACCTCAACTTTTTAAAAAAAAAACACCACCACCCCCCCCCCCAAAAAAAAAAAAAAGAACCACAAACGAGCTTAAAGCTAATTTTATTAATTTAATGAGGGGGTTGTGGAGTATAACTGCTTCTTAATGTATATGCACTGCATAGGATCTAAAAGAATTTGCTGGGGATTCCTTAAAACCTGTGTGCCGATTAGTTAAGTTTAACTTTGGTTTTGTGGTATTGAAGAATTTTTCGAACATCTGTGGTTTAAACAACTTCGTAAACTTGTATCCTGTAAAGTGCCATAGATTTTTTTTTTTTT